TTGACCGAGTCGATAGTAGATCTGCAACTGCATCAACGCAGAGTCGGTCTAGTGCTATGGCATCCCTCTGCGTTAAACGTGCTGCTCACAGCCGGCTCGGACAATCTTGTTATCATTTGGAACGTCGGGACGGGAGAAGCTCTGATGCGCATCGACTGCCATCCAGACGTGGTTTATTCCGCATGCTGGAACTGGGATGGATCTCGATTAGTCACTACGTGCAAAGATAAAAAAATTAGAATCCTAGATCCGAGGTCGGGAGAAATATTGGAAGAAGCTATAGCGCATGAGGGAAGCAAGGCAACGCGTGCCATCTTTCTTAGGTACGTACTCCATGTATTTTATTCTTTCGAAGCATTTTAGCTTCTTTTTATTGCTATATATTATTCACATATATTATATAAAAAAAAATCAGATTGATGCAACAAGGAAAAGAGAATATAGAAATATAGAAAAATATAGACATATTTGCAAAACAGATTAAATTCTAATGTTTTTATCAATGGTAGTTCAACTTTAATTCCGATTTAACTATTGATCTTTTTCTAGTTCCAAGAATTAGAAAAATATGAAGAATAAGTTAAACCGAGATTAAATTAATCTACATTAGTGGAAATAAGTATAATTCTTGAAGTATAGAAACAGCAAATAGAGAAAACATAATTTTCCTAAAAAGCTGTTTAAATTTTTCTTTAAGATGAATATAATTTCCAGTTGCATCAGCCTTATTTTAAATATCACTCTAATAGATACGTTACAATATTATTTGTTTAAATGTAAATATTTAAATACATACTTAATTCTGAAATTCTTATTTCTCTCCACTTTCTAATCAAAAGACGTTTAATTTAAATGCACTATTAACATGACTCAACATTGAAAATGACAAAAAACATTATTTTACGATTATTTTTCTAACGTCTTTACATATATATATGATATATAATTCAGAATGCTATACTGTCGATATTTTAAATATAAAAGTAACCAATTTTTATGGCTATGATTTTGTAAGAGGAAGAGTGCATTAAACTAACGAGTGAATTTGCATGAGAGAGTGTGGATGTAGATAAATATTAAACAAAAAGGAATGTGTGAATAATATTACAATATAATTGTACAAAGTTGCAACTTTTTTACTTTTTATATTAGGTACTTGAATTTAAACGTTTATAAGAGAACAAGTGTAAAACGTGTTTATAAAACATAATCATCAAATGGAATACATCCACCTTTTTACACAAATATATATATTAATAATAATTCAATATAAATAATTTATGTGTTAGTAGAAATTGTTTAGAGATAATTTTTTTTTAGATATAGCCACAATATTGGAGCTCTTCCTTTCTATATTGTTATTCCTATTTTGTCTTTTCTTTTTGGTATACCATTTTCGACTAACTTGACGTGACTATATATATTCGCGTCGACATATACACGATACTTTTCGTGCTTTTGTCCACAAGTGTTTTAGAGTTTATAAGACAAACATGTTAGCGTACGTAAAGGTACATTTGTTTTTATCATCTTATATTTCCGGTTTGTGTAGTGCAAGATTCTGATAATTTTTAATGGAAAGATCACCAGACTGAATTTTCGACAATGACGAAGATGCCAACTTAATATATACGAATGTCAAGATGTGCTCTGTAATTCTCCATAAATATTCCAGTAAGTATTGTGCACCAAGTTATTAATTTAAACTGTAATTGTAAATGTTAGAATGCTTAAAAATAATTATATAAGTTACAACGAATATCAATTTCGTTAGAAATGTTTTTACAAAATAATATAATGATAATTATTGTTTACGCTTGTAAAAGAAAGGATTTACCAGTACTTGTACAAGTTTATGCAAGCAAGTGTTGTACATATGTAATTTGTGTATTATAATTGTATTTCTTATATTGCAATATGTGTCTTGTTTGTGACAACGTTCATGAAAGATATGTGTAAAATATTGTAAAAAAGCTCTATGTAATGAGGTGGTAATAAGGTGGATGTAATAAAAGAGTTTTGATGATTAAAATTTCTGTATGTAAAATATTATAATAAGATATTACAAAGTAATGCAATGTA